ATTATGATGTATATCAAACTATTGGTTTTAGTTGGGTTTGATTTGCCTTTTCCACTCATTTCTGGCATTCACAAACTTCATCAAATAAAGGCTTCATTTCATACCTTTCAGCTTTCACCTTGTTTTATATCCTTCATTATAGTTATTCATTTTACATTAACTACAAAGATCTGTTTAATTCAATTGAAACTATTTTTTTCAATTCACAAAAACTCAATATTGTATTTATGTCCTTACATGGCCATGCTTCTTAAAAAATAGTTTTATTTTGGAGAATTAGACATAAAATAATTAATTTTAATGTTTATGAGACAGAACTGAAAAAAATATAAACAAACACAATAATTATTGATTTTGAAAATGTGAAATCTGTAGAGGTTTCGTGAAGGTTAAACTAAATCTAACAAATGCTTGTTCAGCTGCGTATTTTCAAGTGAAATTCTATTTCCAGAGTGACGTGTCTGAATTACAACGGTACATTTGCATAATTTAAAATGAATATTTTTAACTTAAAAACTTTAATGGTGGTTCTTTCAAGAGACTTTCAGAATTCTGTTACAGAACTAATGAAGGAAATAGACAGAATTAAACACATCTTCCACATTATGGAGATAAGAAAAAGGGAACCGTTGTGAATCGAATCTACTCCTTTTTTTACTTGTGGGGGGGGGGGAGGGTAGAGGGGACTTGAACTTACAAAGGCACCCTCTTAACCCCGTAGAGCTTTAATTATCTAATATTTGCAAGCAAAATATCTTTGAAAGACTACAAAACTAACTAGAAACAAAAAAAAATAAAAATTTAAACTAAAATTTAGAAATCAAATATAATATAAATTGGTGTAAACTTTAAAATGAAATAAGTATAAAGAACTAAACCTAACAGACAAACAAACACACAAAAAACACACGAACAATTCCCTCAAGATCTGAAAACATGTGCTGCTTAGAAAAACAGCGGTGTATGATTAAAACAGATTTAATCAGTTCTGTTTATGTATATGCTTCCACAATCCCCCCCCACCCCCACCTTCAGTATTTTGTAGATTCAATTTCTGGTGTACACTTGTCCTATTTTGTAGATTAACAGTTTTAATTTTGTCTATGATTTTAAAATTGAATTCCATTCTTGTGCAGATCTTAGATCCAAAAATATTCCCTTGATTTTTGTAGATTGTACCCCTAGAGCCCCCCCCCCCTCATCCCCCCTGACTTTTGTAGATATAACATCATAAGATAAGATCTGTTAGATTTCAATTTGCTGGTGGTATGAGGAGGGGTTGGAGCTGAAAGGAAACCATGAAACTAAGGGTTCTCTGATCCTATCTTTATTGCCCGAGAACCCGAACCTTAATCAAACGAAGCTCTGGTCAAATGAAATGAAAAATCTTTAAAAACTGATTTTATATATTTAAAACTCCAGTTTTATGAATCCAACCGTGATTTGTAACATAAACATTGGCGAATAGAAAGCTAGTCTTTGGCGTTATTCAACAAATATTCAGAAGTTCAACTCAATACACTACTCATAACCAGTGGCATAGCTGGCATATCTGATCAAGGAAGAGGGAACAGACATATGTTATTTATCAATCCTAAGATGAAGCCTGAAGAAGATTTATTTTATATCTCACTCTAATTAAAACTAAATTCTAAGCACACTACACTATACTGCATAATTCGAATTGATCACCCTGTACTCCCTATTTTGTATGGATCACCCTGTAATCCCTATTTTGTATGGATCGCCCTGTACTCCCTATTTTGTATGGATCACCCTGTACTCCCTATTTTGTATGGATCACCCTGTACTCCATATTTTGCATGGATCACCCTGTACTCCATATTTTGTATGGATCACCCTGTACTCCATATTTTGTATGGATCACCCTGTACTCCATATTTTGTATGGATCGCCCTGTACTCCATATTTTTTATGGATCACCCTGTACTCCATATTTTGTATGTATCACCCTGTATTCCATATTTTGTATGGATCACCCTGTACTCCATATTTTGTATGGATCACCCTGTATTCCATATTTTGTATGAATCACCCTGTATTCCATATTTTGTATGGATCGCCCTGTACTCCATACTTTTTATGGATCACCCTGTACTCCATATTTCGTATGTATCACCCTGTAATCCATATTTTGTATAGATCACCCTGCATTCCATATTTGTGTGAATCACCCTGTACTCGACATGTATTCTTTAGGTCACTCTATACTCAAGATCTTCACCCTGTACTTAATGTAACTCGACTTGAAGCCAGAACAAGAAAATGGTTTTGAATATTCATGAAGCACTGGGTAGATATACAGGGTGTCCCAATTAACATGAAAGTGAAAAGACGACAAAGAGATAAAAATGAGACCACATTTTGTAAATGACATGTACTATTAGATTTGATGACTATTACTTCATCATTATAATTGTAAAAAATACCACTATTATGTACGCGTGTATATCAGTATGTATACGTATCTATAGAATAAATATGATCATTATTCTAATGTTATGTGGGACACCCTGTATATGCATAAATATACATAGGTCCAAATGCTCTACTTCTTAAAATTTTGTATTTGCATAAAACAGGGTTTAAATGGAAAATAATGTGTATTATGCCCTAAAAAGTAAATAAGCAGCTCTGCATATATATACCTATATAAGGTCAAATATATCTCATATACTCTCCTTTCTCTTAAAGGAACTATATATAAGGTCAAATATATCTCATATATACTCTCCTTTCTCTTAAAGGAACTATATATAAGGTCAAATATATCTCATATACTTTCCTTTCTCTTAAAGGAACTATATATAAGGTCAAATATATCTCATATATACTTTCCTTTCTCTTAAAGGAACTATTTATAAGGTCAAATATATCCCATATATACTCTCCTTTCTCTTAAAGGAACTATATATAAGGTCAAATATATCTCATATATACTTTCCTTTCTCTTAAAGAAACTATATATAAGGTCAAATATATCTCATATATACTCTCCTTTCTCTTAAAGGAACTATATATAAGGTCAAATTTATCTCATATATACTCTCCTTTAAATAAATATTTAAAATTGTATAAATATTGAATTGCTACAATTTATTGTTTTCTTACTTCCAATGATTAATTTGGAACGATAATTTTTTTAATAAAATAAGTTTAATAACTTTGTCTCTTTTCAGACTTCTTAAGGAATTAAGTCTTTGCCATAGACTCTGATTTTCTGATCCCTATTCTGTTAGTTCAAATAATCTAAGTTTGAAATATCAAAGATTCACACCATCAGGTTGCGGTTAGAAAATTTGAGTTTTGACAAGAACTTAATTCTTTTAGCTCTTTATATTTTCATTACAACAAACCGTCAAGTGAATTGTCTAGTTAAAACATTAATAAGTTATTTAATATGGACTTTTTCATTTCAACCAATTTTTCTTCGGTTTGATTGGCAATTAAATTTTAAAATATTAACTTTTCATGACTGCGGAACTGAACCAACCTGATTTTTAAATATTCATTTAAAATTTTTTTTTGGAACTTAAACCTTTGTAAGGAAGCGTAGAAAATAGATATTCATGTTCATATTCTTTATTTCATATTTAATACAGATTTTAGTTTTCTCACATTAATATAAATACAAAGGGTACATTGTAAAAAGGTGTTTACAGTTCGATTAACATTTCTTCTTTAGAATATCTTTCCAAATAAATTAAATCATGGTATTTTTTACGATGTATATTTTCTTAAATGAAATAGATGTATATTTCCAATAGCTATATAAAATGTGTAAGGTATAGGATTAAGTTGAAAATGGTCTTGGCAGTGTTCAAATTTTCTAAAGCATATACTTATCAAGAATCTATTTAGAATCCTGTATATTCAAGAAAAGAGAGAAAGCATTGCATTTGTATTTTTGTCTCTTTTAGAAGTATTTTTGAAAAGGTTAATTTTACGAACAAAATTTTTCAAAAAAACATTTTAAATTTTTAACTTATTCAAAAAAATGCCAATTCAGAAACATTCAATTGGAAATTAAGTGCTCTAAGAAGAAGAACCATATCTTTTAAGGGATCAATTTCAAGTGACCTGCCATTTATAGAGTTGGATGTACAATTCACATCGGTACCTTGTAAACATTTGTCACGTAGATATCCTATCTTTATAACTATAAAAATAAGAATATCCCTGATAAAATAAATGTTTAAAGTTGAAAGGAATTATGGAATAATTGGAGATTTACTTGAAATTACGACTTTGATCCCTTTAAGAAATAGTAAAATAGAAAATGTTGTTGGAGATGATTCTATTGTAGCATAAAATCATGCAACTGACCCATTGCAATTATTACAATACAGTGCAGCTACACATTTCACCAGAATACACATACAGGGTTATACACAAAGGGTCTTACTTTAAGGACGACCTAGAAAACTCATAAATTCAAATGGTTAAATTTGAGTAGATCTAATGAATTTGAAGAAGAAAGGAACAAGTTTAAAATTGCAATCTATCCTTTGTGTTTAACCCTGTATATGCAGAATCACTTTATAAGTCAAATCCATCTATGAAGGGTTTACATTTAAACATAATTTACATTTTATAGATCACAGGAGTACTACCAAGATATTGGATTGACTAAAGAGAAGGGTTGAAAGGGGTTTATTCACAGCAATTTGGTTTCTTTATGGTATAAATTGAATAGGGGGAGATTGAAACTCTGAAGGTCTAAACGACTCCAAAGGATTTTATTTTCAATCTGAAACTCAATAAATTTCTCCCAGCGTCCCACTAGGGGGATAGACTCACTTTCATTAATCTACACTGTATTAGCTGGAAACCTTAAACTACAATTCTTGAACAATTTAGAGGAAAAATTTCCATTTAATGAAATTAAAACCATTCCCACTTTTACCTTGTTACTTTAAAGTCCATTTACTTGACTAGGATCAGATTAGTTGGATTGGTTAAATTAGTTTATTTTGAAATTAAATCACGGTTGGTTTATTTATCAGTAATTAAGTCTAGTACAGTTCTATCTCTTCATAAGTTTGATTCTAAACTAACAATCTATAATGACTGCATTGTCTAATTTAGAACATTGGTTGGCTGGTCTAAACTAGCACACTGCCCCTACTGGCTGGTCTGCTGAAATGAAAGTATTGCGGCATTACATGCTTGTACAGTTCCGAACTCACACTGTACGGGGAGGCCTCTCCAGGGGTAGAATACTCATAATCTGGGTATACAGGGGTGGTTCTGGGGACCCTATCACAGTTCTCATAGCCCCCTACCCGGGTCCGGGTTCTCAGGGGCGTAAAATGACTCATTATTCTTGGTTTGTTACTGTCGTACACCAGGCTAGTGTGAAGACTCCCCATACTGCTGGCATAGGGGGATGGTCTACCCGATCTGGCAGGGGCCGGGGACGGGTGGGCGGTCTTGCTCGAGCGGGGCACTGGGGACTTGGTCAGGGGCACCGAGTACTCTGTGACAGAGGGGGAGGAGAATCGTGCCCAACCAGGGGCCTCTGGATTGTACACCGGAACCTTAACAGAAAATCAAATTAAAATGTTGTTCTGAAAAGGAAATAGAGTGAGTGAATTGAAAGAAAAGTTAAAATGAACTTTTTGAATGAGTTTGAGATTTGGTTCCTCTGGTTGGAAAGTTTGGGAGGAAAGTTTTCACTAAATTCTCAATAACTGTCATATGCTCATTTGCTATGCTTTCAAAAATATTTGGGGCAAACTAAATTCTCCAAAATATAGACAGTAAAAATAGGAAAAAGGTTGAACCCATAGTGCAAGAAAAAGTTTTTAGTTGAGGTTCAAAAGCCATTTTTAAGCTTTATAGAAACAAAAAATACATAATAATAAGGATTGAACAAGAAAGAAAAGCAGCATAATATAGTTATATTGCGATGCAGAAAAACTTATTATAACACTTTTTTCTTTCTTTTTCTCCAAATGGTTCGATGATTGATTATTTATTCTAATGGTAATAGTTCCATAATATTTTTAGAAAACTTTTTATTAGTTTTCTTTTTTATTCTTGACCTTTCATAAACAACAAGCCGAAGTGCCCGGCGTTGCCCGTGGAATTTACAAAAACTTTGGAAACAAAAATTCTACTAACCCAAGGGTGCCCAAGTGTTTCCTTAATGAAAATTCAGCCAATTTGGACAAAAATTTGATCAAATTGTGCTTTAAAAATTTGCGATATAACTCTCAATGAACAAAATAAAGTTTTTTTTAAGTAATGACTGAACAAATAGCGAATTATGTCTTAATGCATATTGCATGCATGGTGCAAGGGAAATTAGAAGGAGTGCCTGAAAGCCATTAAAGTATTTATTGAATGTTTATTTAGCATTAAAGGGACTGTAGGCGTAATTTCAAGAGACCAATTGAAAAGCATGCGGTTTAACAATATCAAATAACAATATTTATTTTCTCTGTCTCCCAGAATATTAAAAATTAAAACTTTTTTTTAATATAAAACATCTGTTAAATGGAGGGTCACTTGACTTCAGTCCCTTTAAACTAAATCATTTCCATTTTGCTACTTAACTGATTTTTTACAAAAAAATTAATCAAATTTGATAAGATAAGAACTGTCTCATGAAGATTAATTATCAATGTTGTTTTTAATCTCTTTGCAAAAAAAAACAAGATAATAAATAGATGTTTCTTCTTTGATAAATGATAGAAATAGTAAACAAAATATCTAAAACTACTCCAAACTTTAAAAAATCTTAAAAACACATGTATAAAATTCAAATGTTTCAAAAAATAAATCACTATTTCTATTATTTTTTGTGCCAAAACTTAACTTATAAAGTGTGTTATAAAGTTTTTTTTTACTCTTATTATAAAATCTATCTTTCTAACTATTTTCTTCTATATATCTATCTATCTATTTAGACCATGCATGCATGCCTAGTGTGATGGATTACAGAACCAATTAATTAGACTCAGATTAAATATTCATTTAATTGTTCGGATATCTACCCTTATATGTACATTATTTATACACTCAGTTCAGATATCTACCCTTATATGTACATTATTACACTCAGTTCAGATATCTACCCTTATATGTACATTATTCATGCACTCAGTTCGGATATCTACCCTTATATGTACATCATTTATGCACTCAGTTCGGATATCTACCCTTATATGTACATCATTTATACACTCAGTTCGGATATCTACCCTTAAATGTACATCATTTATACACTCAGTGCAGATATCTACACCTTTATTCTCATTTCGGATATGTATCCATGTTACCATGTACACATACTCAGTTCAGATATCTACCCCTGTACACATACTCAGTTCAGATATCTACCCCTGTACACATACTCAGTTCGGATATCTACCCCTGTACACATACTCAGTTCAGATATCTATCCCTGTACATATACTCAGTTCAGATATCTACCCCTGTACACATACTCAGTTCAGATATCTACTCCTGTACACATACTCAGTTCGGATATCCCCCTGTATATATACTCAGTTCAGATATCTACCCCTGTACATATTCTCAGTTCAGATATCTACTCCTGTACAAATACTCAGTTCAGATATCTACCCTTGTACATATACTCAGTTCGAATATCTACACCTGTACATATAATCAGTTCGGATATCTACCCCTGTACACATACTCTGGTCAGAAGTCTACATGTTTATTGAAGTAGTTTCACTGATTTTATGATAGCAGATGAAACCTCATAGAGAAAAGATATAGAAACTATTTCTTAGGTTTCTATTAATTTTCTGTACCCCGAGTTCAAATATCTACCCCTCTACACACACTCAGTTCGGCTATCTATTTATTGAACTATTTGCACTTATTTTAAGATAGCAGATGAAACCTCTTAGAGAAAGGATATAGAAACTATTTCTTAGGTTTCTATTAATTTTCTGTAGCTCGTATATCCTACTGATACAGAATATAGAATACAGAATACATATCAAGATTACTCTTTAAGATAGAGTATAATGGGCCTCTAATGGGCCATACAATATGCAAATATATTATACCAAACCAAACAGGGTTATCTGCAAAAGATAGAATTTACTTTTATTCTAGCAACAAAAAAGGTGAAATAATATTTTCCGTTAAAATACGGTTAGAAAAAAAAAATACTAAAAATTCAAAATTACTTTGCATAAAGCGGGATTCCTTCCAAATTGAAAACACACTTTCCATGATTCTGCAGATCTCTTTGTTCAAATAAATACCGAGAAATACATCAAATATTATACTTGCTGATATCTTTATATTCATATTGCAAAATATTTGCCAAGAAAATCTGCATTTATGATTTGATTAGACCATAAAGTTCTCACAAATAGTACCAAGCAGTTCTCCTTTAACTTTTATAGATTATTAATAAATGTTTGTTAACTTTTTTTTTGCTACAGAATTGACATGCTTACTATCTATAATTGAACTCTTATCATGTCATAAACTCTGAGAAAATAAACTGTTTGCATAGATAGCTTCAGTACATTAAGGAACTGATTACTTGCCTCGAACTCTAATATCATAATCTTTTTATAATTGTAACTTGAGGGTGTAAATCTTTGATGTTACAAACTGTTGTAATTTAATCTATCAGAATATATTCTTTTATTCCAGTTTAGGACATCAGATAGCAAAGGTAAAAGGATATTTTAGTTTAAGAACAGTTTTCAGTTCCTTTAAAGAAAGGGACAGACCGGCTATGTAAGGTAGTTAAACTGAGTATGCAGTGTTGTGGACAAATTTTTTAGGATTTCTTTGAGGAAACTTTTCCACAATGTATAATTACTGAATTTGAGTGCATAGTCGACGTTCAAAATCATGAACTTGGGTGGGTTCCTTTTTAGAATCAGTTTTTTAAATAATTAAATAATGACGACGAAAAATAAAGTAAAAATTATACAGTAAACTAAATGGTTAAACAGTAAACTAGATGGTTAGGAACATATTTCTCAATAAATCAATGCTAGAATCAATTATTTTGTTTTCATCATTATATTGAATTTCTTATTTTTTATGAATTTATTCGCAGATTTCTACAAATTCTTCAAATGTCGTCTTTTCATTAATAATTCCGGAAAATTTTTGTGAATAATGAGGGACTAGAATGATGAGAAAAAATAAACTAATAATTGAACAAGATTACTTATTTTTGATGATAAGAGTTAATTTTTATTTTCTCAACCTGTTCCGAAACAACTTATTAGTTTACTGTAGAATTTTGTTTACATTTTTGTCGTTGTTACTTAATAATAAAACAACGATTCTGAAAATGTATCCACCCAAAAGTACGATTTTAAACGTCAACTTTGCGCTCAAACTCAGGATTTACAGATCTTTAAAAAGTTTTATATGACTCAAATGAATCCCAAAGAGTTTGTCCACAACACTGCATACTCAGTTTAACTACCATAAATAGCCAGTCTGTCTCTATAAGGGTGGAGAAAAAAATTACCGGACTAAAACTGGCGAGAGTAGCATAGCTGTCACTGCTCGAGAGATTGGAGAGATTTGGGTTCGGGAGAGGTTTCTCCATGTAATCTACTTCACTGTGAAGATGCATTGAGGATCTTAAACTCCCCTCGTTGTTCAACTGCTGTCCACGCTTCTTCAACCGCCTGAGGTAGACCGCGGCAATGAGCACCGCCATGAGAAGAACGCTTGCGCTTGCCGCGCCCATGGCAACAAACATGGTTGGGCTGACACTTGCGAGGAGGACGGATTGGCTGGTAGTGGTGCTGGAGGTATCAGATATGAGTTCTTCAGCTGGCAGGGTTTTCTCCTTGCAGATCTTTCGTCTTTTAAAGTTTAGGATTTCAGGCTCCCCCGGACCCATCGCCAGGCTCAACTGAAATAATCCATCCATTAATCAATCAATCAAACAATCAGTCAACCAATTAGCAAAGAAATTGATCTGATTTCTTATTGTTATGTCTTTGTGTAGACCTTATGATATGTCAAACATATTGAATAAATAATCTGAGATTGAAATATTAAAGGTCTATACGATCAGGGTGCAAATATATAAGGATTTTAAAGTTTTAGTTCATGGCAAAGAATTTATTTCTTTAACAGTGTTTTCCAAAAAACTTGAATCAAAATGACGACCTGAAAATCATAATTTGAAATGAATTGTGCCAGATTTCAAAACATGCCACTGTTTTCACCAATATGTAATCAACTTATCCAGCCAATTATTAAACAAGGATAAATCAATCAGTTATAACTTCAGGAAAATAAATGATATCTATTGAGTATCCAAGGTTACTGATAGTTCGGAAACTAATTACGATAAGAACCTCATTACCTCACAAATCATTAGACAAATGGATATTAGATACAACAAATGTAAATCCAGGGGGGGGCTTGTAGGGCAATACCCCTTCTTTAGAATTTCTTTTAAAGCTTAAAACTCTATAGATTTACCATGTGTTTTACTTTTAGCTTTAAATTTAAATTTAAAAAATAGACTTTTTACTTTATCATAGAGTCAGAGATTAATTTTAATTCTGCCAACGTACATTTATAGTAAAATTTGAAATTTGTTCAAAGGAATGAAAACCCCCGATGGGAATAGGGAATAAATCCCAAAAGTAAAACTTAAATTACTTTAAGTTTGTACAGATTATTATAATATATTCAAATTTAGCAGATTTATTATATTTCAGGATACTTTCTCCAGGGTTACGATATGCTTAGGAGGAACGTGACAGGAATAGTATACTCCAGGTACTCTATAATATACAGGATAGGGGGATCTTGAGTGACATCCCGCAAACACGCGACAAATTAAAATTGACATTTTCTCTCTCCACTAAAATAACTATTTTCTATTGAACCCTCCATATCAGGGGCAGCTAGAGGAGGAGGGGGTCGGAAATCAATAATAGCACACCCTCCCCCTTCATCCACCCCCCATCAAAAAAAGATACAACAAACATTCATTTGCGACTTTTTTTCATCCTATTTTTTTTACAGTTTTTGCAAAAAGAAATGCTTTAAAAAAATTTGAATTATTGTAAAATGTTTATATTACTAGGTATGAAGGGCGCAAAGCGTCTGGAATAAACCTATTTAACCTAAATATGATGAAGACAGACCTAAAAGTTTAACGAAATTGACAAATGATGATGAAAGTTTTTGCTGGTAAAAATTATAAATTAATATATATGATTCCAACCCTAAAAGTGTGTCAACCATTGTAAAAACCGTATTTAAACACACTACTGCAAAAACCAAGCAAAAACCTTGACAATATTGATCGAAGAGAAAAATAATTCAAGCTTTCTAGAATTTCTGGAATTATAACGCAGAAATATTATTTAAAATAATGGTTTTTTTTTAGAGACAATTAGGGTTGACAAACTTTATTGAAATGAAATGAACACTTACAAAAATGTATCAAGGAACTTTACGCTTCCCCCAAACTTCAGTTTGAGTTGTAATAAAGTATTTGAACCTTCTTTGCAACAATCTTAAATTTTGCAATCCCTTTATCTTTGCAATCTGATGGTGTAAACCTTTGTTTTATTTAATAGAATTTATAGTATGACATATCTAGGGTTTACGACATTGGGTTGGAAATATTTGAATAACTTTTAAATATTCATTTCAACATTTTGCGACAATGAATTGCATTTTTGCGAAAATGAGACTCGTTATAACATCATTAAACAAATGTCCATTGATGTTTTTGTGCATTTTCTGCAAGCTCATGTTTCAGCAAAATATATTTGCTGGAAAAGAATAATAAAATGTCAAGTTTTGAAAAAAGGTTTTGGAGATTAATTTCGAACCGATCCATTTATTTTAGTTTATGGTTCGCCATATAATCTCTTATTATTACTTTACAATCTCTTCATCGGAAAATATTATCTAAAACAATAATGTTTATTATAAGCTCCGCCCACATTGATTCAGACTCCTTTGCATACATTTTTAAGACGGGGGCAAACTTTTAATATGTCGCAACGCAACTCCTTGGATTTTGATTTTTCTGAACTATCTTGCACTGTAGAAAATTGAATGATAAAACACATCTAGGACGTACAAAAGTGTGACATACATACATCCCAACCTTATACATTTAGACCAATAAAACTGCTATCCTAAAGAATCATGATTTAAATAGTTTTAACATAAAACATATCGATTGTGCAGTTTAAACAAACCCATTTAATTTGTTAGGTCGATATTCAATCTAGCGTAAAGCTATCTGCAGTAGCCAGATTCGTTTTACAGAAAAATTTAAGGGTTCTAGACTTTTAAAAGGTTTTCTTACAATATGAGAAGGTTCCAACATTTTAAAACTTTATTCTGAAGAAGTTTGCTTTTATCAAACATGCAATTTTTTTACCGTGGAAGAAAATATAAGGCAAAAATGATCGTTATTGGGTTTTTAAAAAGATAGTTTTTGGTTCGTTTTCGACTTATGTTTTCACATCGGATCACAAATTTGCATGTTTGATAAAAACAAACTACTACAGAATACAATTCTTATTGTCGTAAACCTTTTAAAAGTCTAAAAAAATTAAATTGTTCTGTAAAACGAATCTAGCTTGGTGTATGAAAGAAGAAGAAGAACTCCATATTTGTTTAAAGGGTTGTTTAACATAAATAATCATGTAAATATATTGGGGTTAAAGTTCAGAACATATATGCTAGACATTATACATGCTTAAACTAATAATGTTCAGATTTGTTTTAAAATGCCCCATAACTTTACTTTTTTCAAGTCCATTAAGGGATATCAGATATAATCATGTAAAATCTTGTATGTGGGTAAATATATAATAAGAAAGACACAAAACAATATAATTTCCAGTTGTAATAATTTGAACAAAAATTATTTAATAATTTATTTAATTTAATAATTTTTAAAGTTTTATTTTTTAAATTTCAGAAACTGTTTTTTATACATTTTATTGATTTAAGGGTTAAAAATTACTTAAAAATACGTTAAAACCCCTTTAAGCTTTGTAAATATATGTAATATCTAATTTCAATGACATACCCCTCTAAGGAAATGTGACGGAGTTGAAGGGGGGGGGGGGGGTAGGGAATAAGAAGGGTTCTATAAATGTATGTGAGAACTGACAACTATAATTTTTGTCATGTTTCATGCTTTGAGCGTAGAAATATTCCAGTTTTTCATAATTTTAGAATGTTGTATTCTGTATTCATGTGGGAATGATTAGAAACAGATTACGGGTGGAAACAGTGAAAGGCAGGATATATGCAGGGTCGGAGGAGAACATTTAAAATCACAAAAGAAGATTTTTAAAAACAAATTTTGTGTAAATAATAAGTATCCAAGTTTAAATATAAAAGATGAAACTTTTAAGTGAACAAATTGAAAAAAATCATTTGCTAAACCAGTATACCTGGAGTAAACTATGCTTCTACGTTCTAATATACATATATTATCTATACCTGGAGTAAACTGCTACTACTATTAAGTATTACTGGAGTAAACTATCCCTGCTATTTTGTATACCTGGAGTAAATTACCACTCTATTAATAATACCTGGAGTAAACTACCCCTCTATTAAGTATACCTGGAGTAAACTATCCCTGCTATTTTGTATACCTGGAGTAAACTACCACTCTATTAATAATACCTGGAGTAAACTACCCCTCTATTAAGTATACCTGGAGTAAACTATCCCTGCTATTTTGTATACCTGGAGTAAACTATCCCTGCTATTTTGTATACCTGGAGTAAACTACCACTCTATTAAGTATACCTGGAGTAAACTACCCCTCTATTAAGTATACCTGGAGTAAACTACCACTTTTTTGTAAATCTGGAGTAAACTACCTCTATAATTAAGTATACCTGGAGTAAAGTATCAACTTCAGCTGCAACCTTCCCAGTACAAGGGAAGAAAAGACGAAATTTATCCAGGTATGTTGGAACCAACCCCGCCATTGATACATTCACTGTCGGCGGGTCCATCGCCGGTCCTGGGGTGTGAATGAAAGTGATCTTGTAAGGAACGGCGGTATGTGGCTGTGCCCGCCAAGAAAAGTCGATGTGGTCAACTTCTGCGGGAATGGTTTGATGCTGGAAGGTCATGGCGTACTTATTGACCATACCGTCCCGTACATAGTACAGACCATCCGTCTGTATTCCGTACAGTGCTTTGGTCTGGTCAGAACTTAGATACAGGGAAACCTAAATAATTCAATACATGATTGAATATATGTTTATAATCATTAAACAAGAACTTTATTTTTATCAGTTCTTTTTTATGTTTAATTTACCAAATGAATATTATACTTTCAAAAATTTTTATTTGACATTCAGTGTAAATCATAAAAACTAATTTGATAAATCACAGGGCCCAACTTCAGCTTAAAGGGACTGTAAGCGTAATTTTAAGTGACCCGATTTGCAAAGATGGCAATGCCCGCGATTTACTAATAATTATTTTATTTTTCCTGCAGTAGAAATGCGCAACTTTTGTAGAGAAACAACAATTGAAAATAATTATTTTTCAAAATTATAAACATTATATTTGATCCATACTTGATCAGACAAAGTTCTTAATCGAGCATTGTCGTCTTTGCATGGACTAAAGGAATTGAGTCTTTGACACAAACTATGATTTTCTAATCTCTTTATCTTTGTAATCCAATGCCGTAGACCTTATGAATTCTGTTAGATGAACTAATCTAAGTTTTAAATATCAAAGGTTTACACCATCTGGTGGAAAAAATATAGGTATTAGCAAATCAAAGACTCAATTCCTTTATAATTTTAACACTTTTTGATTTGATATTTGCCAGCAATCAATCAAAATAGTCTATAATTCCTCAATTTATCAATCAATCAATCAATGTTTACCTTCCCCTGGGACGGGTTAAGTTGGAAAAGGATAAGAAGGAGAAAACTCCAAGGAGAGATCATTTTTATCCGTCCCACTCTCCTTTGAAGTATTATCTCGTCCCGGTTAGAATTGTCAGATTCTGCTTTATCTCCTGTTTACTTGAACCTGGACTAGTTGGACTGCTTGTCTTGTCTAATTATGAAGACAGAAAACAGACAGGTATTGGATTGACCGGTACATTATGTAGCGGTCTGCCTCAACATTAATCATTCAAGGTATTTAACTGCAGTAACTAGAGCAATGCAATTCTTTACACAGATCATTGTAGAGATCTTAGAGTAGATGTAAAGCTATGTTTTTGCTGTACAGTGATTACTGATTATCGGTTTTTAAACTTCTTCACAAAATTATCTCTGTATGTACAGCTGCAGTACTAATCATGTAGAGGTGATGAATTTTAAAGAAAGGTGTGATAGTTCCGTACTGCTCTGGTGTCTGAGTTTAACTGAGCTGAGCTAAGCTAGGGTTGGGGGGTGGAGAGAGAGAGGTCTGCGGAGGATTCAAACCGGGGAGAGAGGAGCTTTCCGTTGGGAGAGAACCCGAGGTTTCGTGATTTTCCCCTAGACGAGGTTTCGTGGATTTTTTGTAAACAAGGTTTCGTAGATTTTTACTTTTCGAGGTTTCGCGGTTTTCTTGGGTTGTATCAGGTTGTATAAATAAATTGCTCTCGTTAAACTGTGCTTTTTTCGGGGCCGTCTTATCAGATTTCAAAGGAATTTCTTCTGAAAATTCTTGCCATAAAGTTTAACACCATGTTGTATTCATAAACTTAGTTAACGCCAGGAGGCCGTGACAGGGGGTTTCAAAATACGAACACCTGCCTTGTCAATGACATAATATTTGTTATTCGTTGTGATCGGCAAGGTTGTTGTGTCTAACATTTTTTATTCACTTTTGTTAATTCTGATATTTATCATAAGGGGTTGATTTAAATAAAAAGTTTAAGTATCTTGAAAAATCTCAAAAAAAGAAATTTAAAGAAATTGACGAAAGATTTGAAGTAAACATTAATTAAATTAAGATTATTCCATAAAGAGAGGGGTGTTAAGCCATCTTGGAGCATGATAAGTTTGATTATCTAAAGTTGGAGTCAAATTGACAGGGGGGGAAATTGAGAATGTTGAAAGAGGGTGGTGGGTTGAAAATTGAAAGGAAACTTAGGTAGTTTGAATTAGAAAGTTGTAAATTGAAAGTTTAAAATGGAAATTTTATTTTGAAGGATATTGAAAGACCCAGAGCAAAGAAACTTTCGTCAAGTGTTTGTACACACAGCCGAACACTCACAATTGTTAGATTTTTGATTTTTTTTGAGTAATAAAGTATCAAACCTTTCCACAAGAATTGTTTCAGGTAAAACCCAGTTTAAAATAATCAATTTTTTCACAGAACAAACTGATATTTCTCATTTATTCTTGATTATATAAAAGTTTAAAAGTTTTACAGTCTAATATTAAAAAGTATCCCAAGCTTTAGGATCCAAAATTCAGAGGTGTTAATTTTAATGTAATAGTTATAAAGGAAACTAACCCGAATGTACGAATATAGCTAGAAGGTTTATAGTTATATAGTTATAGTTAAGAAATCACTTGGATTGAGTTTCAGAGTTAGTATTTGGCAATAAATATTTGAAGAATGCAATCTCTGTAATCTGAATATCATCTATCAGTTATCAGTCCCAGGCCTATCAGTCCTCGAACTAATGTATGATTGACAAATATATCAAGATTGAAGATAGAAAGATACGTTTGACAAGCAAATATACATATTACAGATACATATCTAGCCTTTATAAATATATACAGTAGCCCCCCTCCCCACCCTCTAAATTGTACAATGTACATTCATAAAGGGTGTCCAAATAAACAATCATTAATTTACAATAGACAATAAATGCCTAAAAGTTACTAAAATGTCTGAATGTTAAATGTTAAATGTTAAATGCCTAAAAGTTACAAAAAGTGTTGTCAAATGACATTTTAGAATGTGGTCTATACCTTCTTTGTGTGATTGTCCCAATTATTGTGGGACACCCAGTATATATAGATTGAATAGGAGTGCACAGTGCAATTATTGTGGGACACCCTGTATATATAGATTGAATAGGAGTGCACAGTGCAATTATTGTGGGACACCCTGTATATATAGATTGAATAGGAGTGCACAGTGCAATTTTTGTGGGACACCCTGTATATATAGATTGAATAGGAGTGCACAGTGCAACACTAACCCATTGTATTTAGAATTTAAATACAAACCTTTTGTTATCTTGAATAACAAATAAATCTTTAAACAATTGTATAGATATGTGATCATTAAACTTTCTGCCATGGAAATAGTATGATTTAAAATTAAAGAGGGATTTGCACGATTCACAACAGTACCCCTTCAAAGCTTTGTCTATTGTCTAATCAATAAATCACTTTTGGAGAGAAACCCGATAGAAAATAATCAGTTTTTTAAGATTATAAACATGGATATCTTATTCAACTTGATCAACAATTAGCGTTTATAAGCCTGATTTGGACATGCGAATCTATTATTTGAAATTACGCCCATAGCAGAAACAGACCCGTAAAGAAACATTATTTTTCGTCATACAGAAAACTGATTAGATATAAGATTATAAAGATGAAGGCAGAAAGAGTATTGAAGTAGGAGGCGCGACTAAATTTTAGGGAGAAGGGAAATAAAGAAGAAAGAGATGGGGATTTTAGTGAAACTCTGTTTATACTATGAATAGAGCCAGATGCTAAAGAATTGATGGAGAAAAATAATTTGATTAATTTTCCAAGTTAACACGTGCCCCCTAACTTACAACGCTCCAAGGATCTTTTAAAGTAAGGATAGGACTATAAGGATCTTATAAAATAAAGGATAGGAATATAAGTTTTTACTTTTACATGTACTATACGCTCTGTTTATGATTGGGTATAGCAATGTCGAGAAAATACTAAATTTCGCATTTTATGCTATAGTCCAACTTTTCCCCTTGGAACATTCCTACCTCTCTCTTATATACACAAAGAGATAGATAGATAGATAGATAGATAGATAGATAGATATATAGATAGATAGATAGATAGATAGATAGATAGATAGATAGATAAAAAGATAGATAGATAGATAGATATATAGATAGATAGATAGATAGGTAGGTAGGTAGATAGATAGACAAATCTAAGCATAATTAGACACCCAGACGGTTGGATCATTAATAAAAATAAACATACTTATATTTATAGACATTTTAACAGAACAACTAAAAGACAGCTTCATGCCTAATTAGGGGGAGACTGATGAGTGATGAGAAATATAACGAATTTCCCATTTAACAGCTTAAAGGAACTGTACACTAAATTTTAAGTCACAATCCATAAACAGGGTCGTGTCTGGTTCACAATGGTACCCTCCAAAGCTTTGAATGATCAAGCCTGAATTAGAGTCCATTATGTCTTTATAACTTTGAAAATTATTTATTTATGTGGTTTTTTATATTGCAAAGTTGCAGATTTCTGCTACGGAAGCTTTTAAATTTTAAAACACATTGATATGATTTAAATTATTGGTCTGCAGATAAATGTGTTAAAGGGAGTGTTCACTAAAAAAGGGGTTATAAAACAAAAATAACAACATAAAAACAATTTATCCTTTTTTCATACAAAACCAGAGAGAAAATAGTAAACGAATATTTGTTTAACTGAATTAACTTCATTTATAGAGTGGTATTTCTGATCCACCACATCATTCTTTCACGCAGTTTCTGATCAATAATGTATGAATAATGCTTTTTTTCTTCAAAAATTGATAATTTATATCTGTTTAAAGGGTTTAAAGGATTAATTGATGAATTTATTAATTTTTCTATTTTTGCTTTTTGTTTATTTTTGGTTTAGAATTATGATCTTTTTTATCTCTACTTCACATATATCACATATAACAATATCTTCATCCTTCCCACCCTCCTTCCCTTCCTTACTTATACTGCATGCCATCTCTCATTCTTCCCTCCTTCTCCAATCTCCTTCCTTCTCCCATCTCCTTCCCTTCCTTATTTATACTACCATGTGAACCATGTTGAGATGGCTGGGTGCTTCAAATCAAGTGACTTTGTGTTTTAAAAAATAACAATTATAAACATTAAAACCATTCCACTCGACGCACGGTTGAATGACAAACAAAACAAAATCGATTTCTCAATCCATATCTAGCAATCATCTACCCATTTCCCCCCCCCTCTCCCCCTTGAAAATACCCAAAATCCCCCATCCCTATTTGAATTCCCCCGGATTAAGATAATCATGGATTAGTTAATGATTGTATTGTATTTACGGTCTGCCGTCTCTATATTAACATTATTATTTGCAAAGATCGTTAAGCTGCGACCTAATGAAAAAATTGATGATAGGACGCCAGATAACTGATCCATACAATCCAGATATGGAATATCAACATACGTTTGTATAATCTTAATATAATGGATGGTTAAGAAACAAAATATGTGTACAAGAATGATTAAAAATGAGAACCAGTGATCAAGAATAGGAACCAAGAGCAGTACAAGAATTAGCACCAAGAACAGTACAAGAATAGGAACCAAGAGCAGTACAAGAATTAGCACCATAAACAGTACAAGAATAGGAACCAAGAGCTGTACAAGAATTAGCACCATAAACAGTACAAGAATAGGAACCAAGAGCTGTACAAGAATTAGCACCATAAACAGTACAAGAATAGGAACCAAGAGCTGTACAAGAATTAGCACCATAAACAGTACAAGAATAGGAACCAAGAGCTGTACAAGAATTAGCACCATGAACAGTACAAGAATAAGCACCAAGAGCAGTACAAGAATAAGCACCAAGAGCAGTACAAGAATAAGCATGAAGAGCAGTAAAAGAAAAAGCACCAAGAGCAGTACAAAAATAAGCACCAAGAGCAGTACAAGAATAAGCACCAAGAGAAGTACAAGAATCATCACTAAGAGCAGTACAAGAATATGCACCAAGAGCAGTACAAGAATATGAACCAAGAGCAATGCAAGAATTAGCACCACCAAGAGCAGTACAAGAATAAGCACCAAAAGCAGTACAAGAATAAGTACCAAGAGCAGTACAAGAATAAGCACCAAGAGCAGTACAAGAATAAGCACCAAGAGCAATACAAGAATAAGCACCAAGAGCAGTACAAGAATAAGCACAATGAGCAGTACCAGAAAGAGCAGTACAAGAATAAGCACCAAGGGCACAAGAATAAGCACCAAGAGCAGTACAAGAATAAGCGCCAAGAGCAGTACAAGAACAAGCACCAAGAGCAGTACAAGAATAAGCACCAAGAGCAGTGTAAGAATAAGCACCAAGAGCAGTGTAAGAATAAGCACCAAGGGCAGTACAAGAATTAGCACAATGAGCAGTACAAGAATATGCACCAAGAGCAGTACAAGAATATGCACCAAGAGCAGTACAAAAATAAGCACCAAGAGCAGTACAAGAATATGCACCAAAAGCAGTACAAGA